TGGGAACCCTCTGGAGACCTACTTGGCACCTGGCGGAGGGCTGTCGGGGCGAACAAGGCGGTTGCACCCATACCCTGATCGCAGAGCTCCCTCTTTTCTCGTGACTCATTCCACAAGTGCACGCCCCATCCAGTCAGACCCGGCAAGCCCGCTGCAGCACCGCGGTCACAAAGGAAAAGGGGCCGTTTCCTTTCTGCACAGTCCAAGGGCGCTTACTCGGGCCGGACGCAATCGGACCGGGCTCCCGGCGCGGGCGGGGGGACCAGGCGCTCCGCAGACGGGGCGGGGGAAACCTGGCTCCGGTCACGGTCACGAGGCCTTCTCAGGGTCGAGGAGGGGCATAGCCTTAGGAGGCGCGGGGGAGGGCCGCGGGCCCTCGGGGCGGCATCTGCGGGGCCAGACTGGGGGCGCTGGAGGGGTGCGCGGCCCCGGGCGCGAGGCCCCGAACTCCGAGCTCCCCCTGCGTGCGAGCGGGCGATGGCGGACCTGGCACATTTCTTTGGGGTGTGGCGGCGACGGGGCCCGGAGCGACCTTCCCCAGGACGGCCCAGCCCTCCCACCGCTTAACCTGAGGGGGTCGTTCGCCTCGGCTCCATTCCGGTCGCCGCCGCGGGTGCCGCTGCAGCCTTTGGGCTGCTGGGCCATGCCCGGTCTCAGCGGGTCCGGTCTGCAAAACTTGGACTCGACCTCGTCCAAGAGCTCGTCCAGATCCTTCGCCATCTTGAATCGGCGGACTCCCCTCAGCGCCCCGTGGTTTCCAGGGGCAACGCGGGGAGTGGCAGGGCGCGTGCGCCTCCTCGCGGACTCTGGACCCCGCGCATGCGCGGGCCGCGCCGCCGGCTGCTCCCGGGCGCTCCCCAGCCCCACGTTCCTCGCGCGAAGGTTTTGGCGTAAGGGACACGGCGGGGCTGCGGGCGCCCCGGGGAGCCCCTCGGAGCTGTTCGTTCCTGGGTGGTTGGGAGTGTTTTTGCTGCTCTTTGTTTTAGCTTCTCTGCCGTTTTCCGTCCCATCTCCCCCTCCTGGGCCTAAAGTGTAAGCACAGTCACGTAACGCCCTGTCTCCTCGTCCACTCTCCCCCGGGCCTTGCCGTGTCCTCGGTGTGTGTCAGTCATTTGTGAGTTCCTTAAATAATCTGTGGAAAGGCAGTGGACGGGTTTCTGAAACGAAAACAAATGCCGATGATGGGTTTTAAAAGATCACCCTTCCGTAGTCGGCAGGATTCGAACCTGCGCGGGGAGACCCCAATGGATTTCTAGTCCATCGCCTTAACCACTCGGCCACGACTACTGCTGGTGGTGATTTTGGCAGTGACCGTCTATGTAGACTCTACGTAAGTACGTTTGCAGTCTGCAGAAAGCCTTTCAAAGCGGTTCTGTCTGGTAATAGTAAATTGGTATTTTACAGCACGAACAGTCTCCGCTTTTGAGGACACAGCGGATCTGCGTCAGTCTTTGCTTTTTCAGCAGAGAAAACGCAGGTTCATTCAGTCTTCCAAACTTAGAATCAGAAAACTAGCGAGAAAGGAAGGAACGTGCTGAGACTACTTTTACACCTACCTGCCCGGTGAAGCCTGCTTTAAGAGGGAACAGTGAGTCTGCAGACCACCATCCAGGCCTCTAGCTCCACTCCTCTGGCCACCACTCCCTTTTCACTCACTAGGCAAGAAAGTGCTAATACCTACGGATTTAAATTCACCCTGCAGTTTTGGCTGGTCCACCTTGCCATAAAGCCACTGCTTTGGAAAGTACACACAAAAGGTACTGTCATGACTACCATTCCTAAAATACTCCCCAGTACCTGTGCTTTGAGTATTTCTAAAAGAGGGTGGGCCAAAAGTTGGTGTCTTTGGAAACACTGAAGATTTATTTAGTTTGATCCTGACGATTTGTTTAGTAACTTCATTTATTTGACTTGTAATTTGTGAAAAATAATTTTAAATGTCTTCAGAGACAGGAGCTGGAGTCCTTGATACCTGCTAGAGCTCATCTTTTCAGTTTTCATCATTTATGTGAGCTAGTTGTTAAACATGGTCATTATGAAAAATTAAATGATATAAGCTTACCTTTGAAATAAAAGCAAAGGTAATAATCAAAACTCCTCACTTCCAGTTATTTCACTGAAATTTGTACTGTTTAGGTTATTTCCATCTATCTTATCTGGTGGAAATACTGTATATCCATGGTATGCTATTGAATATCTATTCTTAATTTCCCATTCAATTATGTCACTTGAGAACCTTGAAATCTCATGCTTGATGTATTTATGCCAGGGAAATTGGCAAATGGTACACACGATGGGTTTTCTTCTTAAGAACTCATGGATTGCTAAACATTTAGCAGCACTCCTGTCAACGTTACCGTCAGAATAACTGAATATTCTCAGTAAGGCAACTCGGAAAGAGCAACACCAAATGAAAACTAAAAGACCCCTGCTGAGCAGGAAACCACACAATATGTTACAATTCTCTTAATGGAAGGCTGCAGCTCTTGGGAGGAGAACCACAGCAACCTGACAGGTAGATGGAGGGAGGAGTCAGGAAGACCTATTTTGTGTGTGTGTATAAGAAAGCTTTGTCGTTGCCTTAAAATGAGCATATGGTTGATTCCGTCTCCCTATAAAAGCAGACATTCCTTTTTGCTCTTTGTCTTCCCACTGTGGCATCCAATCCCTCTCATACCTTCCTCCAATAGCAGATTGGGGGACTTTATCCCCCGGCCCTGGATTCAAAATGTTTGCCATAAGCCTGAATTTTTGGCTTGGCTATATTAATTTGGTCATTAAATTTGTCTTGACAACTTTCAATCTATAGAAAATAACCACGTTTTGGCTCTTTTGAATTTTATATATAAAACAAAAGGGGGAATTGTGGGATTTAGAAAGACTTTTCCCCAGGTTTGTCTCCCCGAAGGATATGCCAAATCTTAGAGGCTGTTTGCCAGCACATGGTGAGAGGTCATATGCTTAGAGATATTCTCCCTGAAGGCGTTCAGCCATCAGACTACTGTCTGGTCCACTGTAGGTGGCTCACACCCTACTGATAAGGATAGTAATTGTTCCCATGGAGAGCCAGAGAAAGATCAAACCTGCTCAGTGACATCCAAAGTTAGGCTGCCATCCTGAATCTAGGATCTGCCCATCTTGTCACATGTGTACCCCAATCCCTCCCCTTCCTATTTCATGTATACCCTTAGATCTCATCTCCCCCTCTTATTACTGCATTACGTATAGTACAACCCCTTCCTGTGACGTATGTCTTTACCTGTAATCAGGGGGCTTGTACACCCCCAGATGATATATAAGCCTTGGTTAGAAATAAATCTCTCTCTCCCCTGCCCCTTCTCCCCCTGTTCTCCTTCCCCGCTCCCTCTCCCCTGCCATTCCCACTCTCCATATCCCCATGTGGACCACTAAGCAGGGCTGAAGGGAGCATGCTACTATTAAAAAAAAAAGGAAAATGAAAGAGCTTTGTGGTAAGAGTGCCGATACCAGGAGAGTGGAGGGAAGGTGGGGTAGAAAGGGAGAACCGATCACAAGAATCTACATATAACCTCCCTCCCCCAGGGGACGGACAACAGAAAAGTGGGTGAAGGGAGACATTGGACAGTGTAAGACATGACGAAATAATAATAATTTATAAATTATCAAGGGTTCATGAGCGGGCGGGAAGGGAGGGGAAAAATGAGGAACTGATGCCAAGGGCTCAAGTAGAAAGCAAATATTTTGAGAATGATGATGGCAACAAATGTACAAATGTGCTCGACACAATGGACATATATATGTATGGATTGCGATGAGTTGTACGAGCCCCCAATAAAATGATTTTTAAAAAAACGAAAGCTTTATATAGAAGAGCAATTGAATATTGAGAAACCATCTCAGGCCAACCCAGAACAAGTCCATAAGTCTGATATTAGCCCATATGTCCCAGACCAATCTATAAATTTTCTTCAGACTCATACAGCATATGTAATGATGCTGAGTGCAGGAAGATCACAGGCCAGTGGGTGGAAAGTCTTGTGGGTCCAGTGGCAGTGGCAGCATCTCAGCACTGGAAGGGGTCTCCACATGGCTCCTTTAGTTCCAGGGCTCTAGTGTAGCTCTATGTGTCTTCTCAACAGGAATATCTCGCAGTGACTGTATCTGTGTCCCACCTCCAGGGAGCTATTTATCTCTGTGGCTCCTCCAAGTGAGGTCAATCTGTGACCTGATTGACAGGCTGGACTCCCACCCCTCCAGAAGTTGACACCAGTTTATGTAACTACCACCTTCTATTAGTACTACTTTCTATTTACATTAAGGTGACCAGATTGTAACATTGGTAAAGCGGGACACCATTGATAGAACTCAGATCCTGGTGAAATCGCCACATGGCAGCCGAAAACCTAGCTTGTCGTGCATTCTTTCCAAAAATCGGGACTTTTTAAAAATGCCATAGGACACAGGAAAAATGGTTAAAAATCAGACTGTCCCGCCAAAAGCAGGACATCTGTTCACCTTAAACATGATCCCTACAGCAGCTCCGTGGAAGAAAGAACCCGAGAAGCTGCTCTGCTAAAGACTGCTGTTAAGTGCTTGGAAGTCCGCTTTGACTCATAGCAGCTCTGTGGTCCACAGAAGGAAGCTCTGCCGGCACTGCGCCATCTTCCCACGGGTTATGCTGTTGCTCATTGTTGCAGCCCTGTGTCAACCCAGCTTCCTGACAGCCTTCCTCTCCCCACTGGTCTTCTGCTTTGCCAAGGATGATGTCCACCTCAGACTGGGTTCTCTAGAGAAGCAAGACCAGTGAACCTCAATAATACATATAATTATACATATTATACATAACATATAATTATACGTATTACACATGTAAATAAATATATATTGTATATATATTCATATGCACACACAGAGATTTTAATCAAATAAATGGCTCATCCTTCTATTTTTTGATCTTTCTCCATTAGTAATTTTTTTCCACTAGAGCATTGCCTCTTGTTAAAATGCAGTAATGCATTTTTACTGTGATGATTACATCTTAGTAGATATTAGTTTTCAAGGTTTGTCAGTAGCTTCCTTAAAAAGCATAAAGTAGATGATATTCCTTGGGAGGCAAAATAGGACTGGGGCGTGGGAGAAAGAGAACCACACTTATGGGGGATGTAATGGGATGTTGTTATTTCACTTGTTGGGATGAGCTGTGTAATTATATTCGGTGTGCTTCTTTAAAAACAAGTGAAAAACACAATAAAAAATCCTCCCAGATTCCTTAGCCCTCACACCTAAGTTAAAGATTGGTCTGAGTGGCTAAAGAAAACATTTTTAAAAAGGAGTAAAAGTAAAACAAATGGACTTGGAGCCTTTAGTGACATACAAGTTCATTTCAAACATGAGGAAAGAAAGAGTAGATTTCTTGGAGAAATATCATATCTGTAAGATAAAGTTTGGAAGGTGGAAGAGAAGGGGGCAGTAGATTCTGAATCCAGTGGATCCTCATAGTGGGGATCCAGAGATCAGAAGACTCTGACTGGGTGCCTTTGTGAGAAAGAAGATATTTTTGCCTTTCAAATATTGGAAAAAGGAGGAGGTAGAATTCTGAAAACCAACATCTATGGTTTACCCTATTTTTTTAGGTTGATTACAGGGCTGACCTCCTTGGGGAAGGTGACTTATTTTAAATGAACTAGACCTCGGACAAAGGTCTATTCTCATTGGTATAGTGGGTTATTAAGGTTAGCAGTTCGAACCCATCAA